AACAGTGCATTACTACCAGAATGCTCAAACAAAATTTAAAATTATTTTAGAGTCTGCTTATAACACAAGAATGCTCAACAAAATCCACAGTGAAGAAACAATATTTTAGAAGGCAATTTCAATGTTTTAGTGATATGTAGTGGAAAGTGAATTAAATCAGCTTTATAATTAAGCTTAAAAGATCTCCTAGCCTGCAAAATTATTCGTTTAGGGAATCATTTCCTGCACAAGATATGCAAAAACTAAAATAAAACAAAACGCGGGCAATTGTTCTTCCAACACGAATTTATAATCACCTGAAATGAGTCTCAGAGCTATTTAAAGAATAAAGCAGATTATGCAAATTTGTAACACTATACAAGGAGATAAGAGGTTTTTGGTTGGTCTGATTTTGTTTGGTAATTAACAATATCAGTGATAAACCTTGGGAGTCACTGGCCTCTTCTCTTTTATTTTTCCTCCACATTCAACTTGTCTCCAGGTTTTACAGATTCTATCCTCTTCGACCCCTGATCTTGCCTTACTAAACAGACATCCTCATAATCCGTGGCCTGGATTGAATCTGCAGTCTCCTTACTGGCATTTGTTCCTCCAGCCTTGCCCCTCCAAATCCACTAGCCCCCGGTGTCTCTAAAACAATCTTTCTAAAATGACACTGTTATTATTTTTACTACCCCTCTGAAGCTTTCCACAGTCTTCAGGAAAGAGTTCAAACTTTTCAGCACAGAAAACATGGGTTTTCATGATCTGGCCACTACTTATGTCTTCAACTTTATTTTTAGCTTCATAACCAGATTCCAGGTGTCTGGAACTACCGGTAATTCTGTCAGGATCTCTCTGACCTCGATGTGTTTGCGCACATAGCTCTCTCACTGGAATCTATCCCACCTCCCAAACTCTCCCCCTCTTCCTTTACTGGCTACCTCCTCCTAATCTGTTAGCAGCTCCTACATCCCCTCTGCCTAGAACCTTCCCCAGCCTAGACTGGGCCTACTCGCCACACGGCCGCACAGACCTTTCCTACGGTATTACAATGAAGTGTGTGGTGCTGCACTCCACCATGGGATGGCTGACATGCCTCACGGTACAGGAGCGGCATTAAATACTCACTATTCAATGAATAATCTAGCTTTTCCCCAAGAAGATAATCAGTAAAGTTAGCTTTCTTTAAATTTGTAAGTCAAATATAAATTTTTAAAATACATGATTAATGGACCTATTAATTATCATCACCAACCTTCTCTGTCAAAAATTAGTTTTCAAATTAAAATGAATTTCATTTAAATAAAATCTACAACTAGCTATTTTTTCAGTTAATAAATCAATAGAAGTGGTATAACTACTTCAATGATTTTAATTTCTTAAACATTTCAAACATTAAAACATAAAAATATTTAGCAATGACCACCGTTCGAATTACCAAATATTAATATTCAAAGGATTACAAATAACTTTTCTAAAATTCTTAAAGGAAGAAGAGGCTTTAAAAGAACACGAACCCCAAACATCATCACAGTTTCCTCAATTATCTATGCCAATGGAGGTAGGTCATATGGGTTCCAAAAACCTAATAACCAAAATCAAAGCAATTATTTATAATTTTAATACATAAGAGCAAAAAGCAGATTCAACTTCTGGGAAAGAAACTGCTAGGTGTTCCCCAATATCCTTTTTCTCTACTTCTTCCTCAATAATAGAACCCCTGAACTTTAATAGGACACATGGCCTTCATTTCCAGTTCCTTTGTAGCCACATGACTGAGTACTGACCAATAGGTATAAGTAGAAGTGTTAAGGGCAACTTCCAGGAGCCTTCCAGTTGCCTGGACCATCCACCACCATCCACAGCCATGAGGATGAGGGCCATAGCCTTGGCATGGCAGCACACTGAGCTGGAAAAAGCCTGGATCCCTGAGCACGTGTAGTTCTGGACTGCCGAGCCCCACACTTTTATGTGAAATAGAAACAAACGTCTATCATGTTTAAGCTATTGCTATTTTGGGTTTCTGTTACATCATTACCTGAATCTACTCCTCCAATTATTTCTCCTCTGGAATAAAAATATTAGTATCTATACTAGATACACACTGGCTTTAATGCAAATGTATGTGGCTAGGTCCATCAAGCTGGCATTTAAAATATTTTTAGGTAATAGCTTAACTACAAACTTAAATCCAGACAGATAGCTGTAGAATTCAGATTTTTTTTTCAAATATTGAAATTCTGAAACTTTGCTTTGTGTCCTGCTTCAACATGCAGCAGTCTTGACACCTTCTCCACCTGAGAGCTCATCTATTATTTGTTGCCTGTTCTTCTAATTCTTACTCATGCAGATGAGCAGAAAGGCTGATTGTGGTATCAAGCCTGAGCTAACAAAATAAAGCTTAATAACAAACAATACAGACAATCTTGAGCATCTCAGAAAATAGTCAACAGGTTAAAGTAAATTATGACTATATAATATAACCATCTATCCCAACTGAGAACCCCATACATTATTCAAGACTACTTAAGCAAAGAGACAGAAGAGTAGAAAACAAAAACAGCTGGAAAAAAAAAAAACCATCATGTGATGACTTGTTTTTATATTATCCTTTGGAAAGAATTCTATGTTTCAAATTAATGTTAATTTTGTTTCTAAAAGCATAATCTATGAGCAAGTTGGTCTGAAGAGCACTGACCACTGATAAGAAATCATTCAGTGGAGAAAACACACAGTGAAACTTTTAATTAGCAAAATGTAGTGTTAATCAAAATTCTCTATTTTAAACATTTTAGACCACAACTTATACTCAAAACTATGCCAAAGATCATTCAAGTAAAAAAAGTAATAGTAGCTGCTCCAATCGTTATCCATTTTTCTAGTGCTATGCCACAAATGAGAACACTTTTGACAACCGTAAATATTCTGTCTATAGACAAACCTATACATTTTCTTTTATATTTAATAATCACCCTTGATTATATGCCTATAATTTATCATATCTGCTCTAATTTAACACAATATTAAGGCAAGAAAATTTCTATTTGCAATTTTCTCCAAATTGGGAGCTCTATTTTTTGTTCTGGTTTCAACTTAAAAATTTATTTCAGGAAAGTAATTGGTCTCTATTTGTCACAATAACCTTTTACAAGGTTAAAGTAAATCATGGCTACCAAATTCTGAATAGAAACTATTCTACCATGCTACCAAGAGGAACTTCAGAATATTATTCAAAGAAAAGAGGCCCAAACAACTAACATATTCTGCTATCACCTAACAAATAACTTCTGTATACATGAAATCTAAAAGCATAAAAAAGACCATAAGAGAAGTATGAGAAACATTACTTCAAAGAGACTACAAATGATAAAGACGTGTTTTTTAAAAACGTATGCTGATAAATAATAAAACATAGATAATTCAAATACAGGTAATTGGAGGAAGAAAAAACAGGTCTTGAAAATGCCAGGTTATAAATCATTATTTTAAAGAAAATTTTTAATATAGGTTTTTTAGTATCTTAAACTACTATATTTAATATCAGTCATATAATTCATTTTCTTGACTTCACCTTTAAATGGGCATAACAAGCAAAGTGATTAACTGAGAGAGAGATCACCCACATGACTTAAAAAGCCAAGATACCCAAAAAAGAAGCAAATAGTATTAATTTAATCTGAGAAATCTGAAGGCTATGATGAAAGCTGTATTTACCATAGTAAAGTACTTATAACTCATATTCTGTCTACTCCTGAAAACATTTGGGAAGATGCCTAACTTGGGGCTTAGGAGTCAGGCAGAGTTTGGTTTCCTTAGAAGTCATTTTCTTAACACCTAGTCACTTTCCCTTTTAGTGGCAACAGAATCGTCACTCTAAACCTAAAGTCAAGTCGGGAAATGGGGGTGGAAAGGCACCTCTTTTGATCAACAAAGAGCCAGTAGCAGCAGACAGTGATTAAATGAAGCAAAAACAAGGGAAGGCCAGGCAATCAACCTACTGGGGCCGATCCATTAGTTCCCATGTGTAGGAAAGAAGTGTGTGATTGTTGGGCAAGATCTATACATAGCCAGCCGTTCTGCACAAAAGCCAGGGTATGGGAGGAACAAAAGGAGAAAACAGATTTAAAAAATTAAATCATTCAGCAAACTACAGATGTGGTAGCTGCAATCGAGACAGAAATGGCAAGGACTTGGGGAGAAAAAGAATGATCAGGACAGTGAGCAACAGACACTGACAATGAAAACAAGCAGAGAAGAGACAGACTAGCTGCACAGCAATGCCATCTGAATGCCAACACAAAGCCCTGATAAGCATCTTGTTAAGAAGAACTCGAATTGTGTATGTGTAATGGGCAACTGTATACCCATTAGGCCCCCAAGTATGCCTTACTGAATAGTATGATAGCGTGACACCAAATTTGGAATTTGGGGTTACACAGACCCACGTTCAAATCTAACTCCCATAAATGGGAGAACTTGGGCAATTACTTAACCACTCTTATGCACTGGACTTCATATTTATAAAAATGAGAACAGTAACATCTTTCTTGCAGAGATGTGTAAAGATTAAAAAAGACAGTGTATGCCCCTGGCTAGTGCCTCTCATGATCTGGAATAGCACTGCTCCACTCCACCTCCTTCTGCTATCCCTAGCACATTCAGTAATTGATAAAGAGTGGGAAATACTCTGAATATTTTTAAAGAACTGTATTGCTTCCTAACCACTATCTAGCCCCACTCCCACCCTCAAATTAAAACTTTGGAACATAAAAAGTTAAATTTTTAGCTCTGAGGAAAACATGTATTCAGCATAAATTGGACACTTACCCTCCTGAATTTACCAATTCATTTCAATGAATATGTATTGGCCAACTTAGTCCAGACAACAGAGTTTTAACCTCATCAATAGAAGGAGTATTTGGCAGGGAAGTTTGTCTACATATTTAATAGTCGACAATCCCTAAAGAACAATCCATCCTGCCTCTTCCGGGCCTTCCCTCCATTAATTAGCTGGTTCTTCAATCTTCAATTTCTCCCACTCGAACTTTCTTCTGGCACCTATTTAAACAAATGATGACCACAAATATCCAATTTCTACCTCAGGCCCCCCACTAAGCAGTATCCTTTCTTCTCACTAGAAGGAGACAACCACACTAACTTTCCTTACTTCTTCACGATCCTCAGCCTGCTGCAATCTCCCTCCTGTGGCTAATAAGGGCCCTGGCCCAGGTCACCAATGGTATTCTTGCTGCCACATCCAAGGTACACTTTCAGTCCTCTTCCTCATCCTCTCAGCTATATTTTACACTGCTTAACACTCACTCAATCCTTCTTGAAATATATCCCCTTTCTTTTGCTTCCCTAACAGCATATGTTCCTAGGTTACTCCTAATTTTCCAGCCATTTCTCCTTAGAATCAGTCTTTCACCCACTCTTACCCTCCTTGTATAAAATCTACTCTTCTTCTATTGTCCCCTTAAAAGTTTTTGTCTCATTCTCTAACAGTGGTTCTTAACCTTTTTTGGATCACAGACCTCTTTAAGAATTTGATCAAAAGCATGGTTCCTCCTCACAGAAAATATCGGTACACACATTTTTGCATACAACTTCAGGGAGTTAATCCAAACATCTCCTAGGTGAAGAAACCCTGTTCTACACATACTGTTTTGGGGTAACCTCATCCATCGTCATGACTTCAATCCTCTCTCTATTGATTACTTTAGATCTATCACGCTAGCTTACATCTTGCTCCTGAACTCCAAACCTATATTTCTATCTTTCGGATTTCTCCTTGGATATAATACAGAGACATCAAATTCAGTGTGTCCAAAAAAATCAGCTCCTCACTGCTATTCAAATCCTGTTCCTCCTTCATCAGATAAAGGAGAGACAAGTGACCAAAGAGCAGGCCCAGCAGGAAGCAAGGCAACTTCCCATGCCCAGGAATTTGGAAGGGTATATCCACACTGAGCCAGCTAAATGCAGAAAGCCTGACTAGAAAATCACAAAGACACTGAGCTTTAGCCTGCTGCTGTGGAGCAACCATGACAGGGTCTTGGCCAGAAAAGCCAGCCTACAGAAGAGAACTAAGCAGACGGGTTGTAGACACGAGAAAGCATGGGACCAGAAGGAAAGGGAGACGGAAGAAGTTGCTCCCTTGCTTCTTGCCGGCTTCGTGGTTTCCAGTTTTGGTGGAACTGTGTAACTTCACCTAGCATTAGATTCTGTGAGCCACCCTGACAACCTCTTAACATAGCTTCTTATATTTAAGCTTACTTCAGTAGGATTTTGTTTGTTGCAAACAAACCATTCCTGGTGAAGATAACACACAAAAAATGTTTAGACCTTCCTTAGTTTACTAAGGTATTCTTTCACTGGTAGAACCAATTACATTCCTGTTTTGTTCTGGTAGAACCATCTGGTCACTAATTTGTTTCTATAAATTTATCATTTACATTATTTCTTGTATAGCTTCTATTTAAATGTGCAGCTTCTACTAATAATCTATAAAAACACTGCAAAGATTTTTTATTAATTATCGTTTAAGGATAAATTTTTACCATCCCTTCAATTTTACCAAAAACGTAAGTTAATAAATTAGAACACATATTCTTACGTAAAATAACTTATCTGTTTTGAGAGAAAAATAGTAAAATTGCTGTAGGTTGTCAAAACATGACAAACTGGATGTTTCTGATTTTAAACATGCAGAATATGCAAAAAAATATCTTATAAAATAGGTATGTCTATATGTATATACACATACATATATACACACAATTTTCTTATGTAGGCAGAACAAAATTAGGCAAAAGAAAAAAGAAGAGTCTCAAAATTATGCTGTTTTACTAACACTACTAACAAACTAACCATGAGCATATAATCACCTTACCAAATAAGACTCATTCATTTATATGTCTAACAACTGGAGAAAACAAGTGTCTGCAGTAATCTAAATACCTTATGATTAACTTCCTTAAAATTGTATTAATGTTGGAGAACACTCACTCTTGGTGTACCAAATAAAACCTCTAGTACTAACTTCTGATGAAAAGCATAGTTAGGAGACATTTTTCGAATAACTTCATAACATCTATCATAAACACACTCTAGAAGAGATCAAAGAAACGTCATTTTCAGGGGCTGGCCCGATGGCGTAGCGGTTAAGTTCACACGTTCCACTCCGGCGGCCCGGGGTTCACCGGTTGGGATCCTGGGCGAGGACCTACTCACTGCTCATCAAGCCATGCTGAGGCGGTGTCTCACATAGAAGGGCTACAACTCTACAACTATGATATACAACTATGTACCGGGGCTTTGGGGAGAAAAAAGAAAAAGAGGAAGATTGGCAACAGAAGTTAGTGCAGGGCCAATCTTCCTCAAAAAAAAAAAAATTAATTAATTTAAAAAAAAAAGAGATATGTCATTTTCAGAAACTCATAACTGAGATAGGAAGCTGGTACTGAGTCACATTTTTCTCAAGATCACTACCTGAAGTGAAACTTACAAACAGTACTTAGGTGCGAGAAGGAAAGAAGAAACGGAGCTAATTCCTGAAATGCAAAACGCCTTCCCACTTTCTCTTCCTCCTCTAGTATCCCAACACAACCCAGACAAGATTCTTTACTGATTGTTATATTATCCCTTAAGATTCAGTTTCCTATGCATTGATGAACAGACTGCTGACTCAAAAGGCACTACACCAATAAAAAATAAAATCCCAAAAGGTATTTTGCATCTTTATAGTAATAAGTGACTCAGGCAAGAAATACCAATGGATGCTAAAAAATGAGTAAAACGTTGTTGGGAAACTCAACAAGTATTTACACTCTCAAAATACCTCCCCACAGATTATTATGAAGGAGAAAAAAGTTCATTACAGTGAAGAAACCTAACAGATGCCACTTTAAGCAAGTGATCAAAGTTAACACCACCAATAACAGGGCAGACTGACTCAAGAGCTTCCTGACAGAAAAACTGAGGATGTGACATCAATTCTGTGGTGTTCCTGTCCAAAATGCATATCCCAAATCTAATCAGGAAGAAACATCAGGTAAAGTGAAATTGAGGGACATTCTACAAAGCGACTGGCCTGTAGTCTTTAAAAATATCAATGTTAAGAAAGACCAAAGAACTGTTCTATTTAAAGGAGACTAAAGAGACATGATAACTAAATGCAATGTATGGTCCTGGATTGGACAAAAAATATTTGCTACAGACAACAGTATAAACAACAGACAGGAAATCTGAATATGAGCTACATATTGTAGTACTGCATCACGGTACCACAGTTATATAAGAAAATTTCCCTGTTCTTAGGAGATACGTGCTGAAGGATTTAGGGTTGAAAGGTCATAACGTCTGCCACTTAGTCTCAAATAGTTCAGAAATAGAGAGAACACACAAATGTGGCAAAATGTCAACAACTGGTGAATCTAGGCGAAAAGAAAGTACTATTCTTGCAACGTTTCAGTGGTTGAAATTCTTTCCAATTAAAAAGTTAAAAAAAAGAAAACTTTTTTCTTTTCACACTTCCCTTTTCCATTGCAACCAGGAGGATGAAAACTACATCCTAAGGATAGGGGAGAAGGAAGCCTGAAGGATCCTGGATCTTTTATGACCTCGTTGAGCTGCTGTGCCAGCTGTGGACTTGCCAACACGTACAGTTCACATTACATTAGAAAGATAAATCCCTTACTTGAAAAAAAAAGTCCTAAAAGAAATAAATTGGTATTCAGATTACTGTGATTATGTTAAATCTTCCTGAAATACTAAGACAGTGTACATTACTTGAAAGGCCGTTTAGCATTGGTTCAGCCACTCCCAGACTCCCAAATTTCGGTTCTGGAGACACTGCTGTGGCTTCCCACATACAGCATGCTTCCAGAGTGCCCGTGCTTAGAAGTTCTTCCTATACTCTCCCCTCATCTTCAAACAACTCCTCTTGATCCTTAAGACTCAGTCCAAGTGTCACTTCAGGAAATCTTCCCTTTTGAAGGCCCAGGGTGGATGAGGCACAGTTCCCAAGCTCATATGACACCTATTCACCCTTCTGCCATAGCCGTCATGATGCCGCATTGAACCTATGTGCTATGCCTTTATTTTCTACTTCAGATTTCTCTACTTTAGCACATTATAAAGTATCCAATAAGTATTCCTGTCCATGCCTAAATTACAGCTGAGAGGGCTAATCACAGAGATAAAAGTAAACACTTCCACCACTGGGACATTAACTGGATACAAATGGAACAGCACACTGTTTGATCCAAACGCTAAAATGTTCTCTCTTTAAGATAGCTCTGAGTCGTTTAGCAAGGTAGGAAAAACTGTCATCCAAAAGACTGTTTTTGTTTCAAGCATCTACAAATGCCTAACCCTTAAGGAAAATGAGGCAAGAAGCTTCTGAAGGTCCCAGAAGTACAGGGAAATGTTCTAGAGCTTTGATACTGTGCACGTGTAAGACATATGGTATTTTAGGTAAACCTTTGGTCCTTGTACTAACACTTTGGTACACTTTTACTAATTCATTCTTAAAAATGTAAGTAAGGACTGGTGATAAACTTCATTTACCTCATACAAGGGGGTTTAAATTTAGGGTAGGTACCTAGTGTATCACTGCATAATTCTCTTAAAATGTAAATTTAATTAAAATTCAATTAAAGAATATTACATCGAAAGGTGTCTTTCTTAAGAAGACAGGCTTATTACCATTTTTTTTAGTCAATTCCTCAAATATTCAGTGGTCACAAAAACTTGTCAACTCATTTCTGTTACCCATTTTTTTTCCCCATCAACATGTAACATCTGGGTGACATACATAAAAGGAAACTAAGAAAATAATTAAAAAACAATTATATTTCTTAGGTGAGCAAATATAGTTTGCTTAATTTTTACTTAATTAATTTTTGCATACTCTATTGAGGTTTATTTGATTATTTAAAACACACACACACACAAGAAGCCCATGAAATGAAATATTCATGTGACCACAAACATAACTGCCCTGTCCACTAAAAGGGAAAGAAGAGAAAACATTTAAAAACAAAGGAAGTTAGTTC